TATATTACTCAGTATAAATTGCACCAATAAAATAAAGCCACTGGCAAGGTTGTTCAAGGAACTTGATCATTGTGAGGGCTTTATGAAAATTCATTAGTTCAATTTCAGGCTGAAAGGAATTATGTCGCAGAATTTTAATCCAAGACCATGGGGATGGATGTATTTTCTTGCAACTACAGCCAAGGTGGTTTCCTTCCTGTTTCCTACTTAATCAGATGTGATGGAAATCAAGAAAGAAATTATTCCTGATACCACAGTCTGCCTGACTGCTGTTCATTTTCCAGAATCATGACACCTTGATATTTTTCCTTCTGAATGCAGCATTTCTGCCACAGACTCATCTGTTTTTCTGGCTTGTAGAATATGGCATTAGTGGATTAGACAGGGAGTGGTAACTGATTTACTGACAGAAATAGCTGATGATTATGTTGATATCAGTTTGTCTGCTTTGCTGAGATGATCAATACAGGAATGCATTTAGTATTGACAATGTTCCCATCATGTTCTTGAATACCTTCTACTGGGTTTGAAGGGATTCCTTAAAAGTCATTAGTCTCAAATTACTGGTCTCTCTGACCCCAGGAATCCACAGTGTGGCTTTATAAAATGTTATGTTTTTTTCTTTTCCACAGCACTTTGGGGGGGCTTCATAATGCAATAGTGGAACCTATTACTAGTTTTGAATATTTCTATAGCATCCTATAAGAACCTCTGTGAGAAAATCTCCTGAAACCTTCTAGATTTCTCTGTAGTATCTTCTGAAAGAGTTGACTTCAAAAGTGAAAAGAGAAACTTACGTATAAGAAAATACTCTTTTTACGCTGGGTGTCAGAGCTGGTTCTAACCAAGTTTTGCCGTATGATGTGAAACAACTACTGATAAAATCCCTTTAGGTCTGAGAATTACTGGAATTTAAACATTGTGAACTTTGAACCTTGAGGTAAAACCAACAGTTTTCACTGCCATTTAGTTAAAAATTAGCCATTCCTGGTTTACACTGTATTTTTGATAATCAAGTTAATGATGTATAGGATGAAAGAAGATGGACAAATATCATAAGAAAATAATTACCTGATCATCTTTTTGTTCTCAATTTGTTTCTTTAGAGATTATCTCTTGGAATGGTTTGCTTGCCTTATCTTTCCATGTTCCAACAGAAAAATTGGGTTTCTTGCAACAGCTGAGAATGCCTTATCCAGCTTACCTGCTAAATGGCTGGAAAAATCATATAAAAAAAGTAATTGCCTTTAGTTAGAGGTTATTAGGTATAAGCTTTATTTCTGGCCATTATACTACCCCTTCCACACTATTTGTGTACTTAGACATAAGTGTACTGTTACAAGAGGATTTAGTGTAGAGCAGCTGAAAGCATCTTGTTTTCAAGAAACAGTTTGCCTTATGCAAATCATGGAATCACAGAACGGTTTGGGTTGGAAGGGACCTCAAAGCTCATCTAGTTCCAACCCCCCTGCTGTGGGCAGGGACACCCTCCACTAGACCAGGTTCCCCAAAGCCCCATCCAGCCTGGCCTTGGACACTTCCAGGGAGGGGGCACCCGCAGCATCTCTGGGCAACCTCTTACATTGTCTCTGGCTCTCTGGGCTGCAAGCACACATTGTCACCTCATGTCCAATTTTTCATCCACCAGTATCCCCCAAGTCCTTCTCTGCAGGGCTGCTCTTAATCCGCTCATCCCCCAGTCTGCATTGAAATCATGGATTGACCTGACCCATGTGCAGGACCTTGCACTTGGCCTTGTTTAACTTTGTGAGCTTCACACAAGCCCACTCCTCAAGCCTGTCCAGGTCCCTCTGGATAGCATCCCTTCCCTCAAATGAATCAACTGCACCACGTAGCTTGGCGTCATCTGCACACCTGCTGAAGGTGCACTCGATCCCACTGTCCCACTCATTCCCATCCCATTGGTGAAGATATTAAATAGTATTTGTCCCAGTACAGACCCTTGAGGGACACCACTTGTTAGTGGTTTCCACTTGGACATTGAGCTATTGACAGCAACTCTTTTGACACAGCCATCTAGCCAATGCCTTATCGGTCTAACAGTCCATTTGTCAAATGTAAGAGTGAATTGTTAATACTTTTCTTTCAGATAGCTCTCTGCTAATGCAATATACAGTAGTAAAAGAATTATCACTTACAACCAGAATTATGTGCAGTAAATAAGCTACGTTTTCTAGAGAGAAGGAGAACTTTCTGGACATATTTTGGATCAAAGAAAGCATTTCAACCTTAAAAGATAAATGCTTTAAATTATTGTTACCAAATCTCTTGTCTTTGTTGCATGTAGGTATGTCTCAGGCTTTGCACTGTCAATAGCATCTGTAAAATTAAATATATAAGTTACAGAGCTGAATTCTAAATGTTTTTCACCTTTAATATATATCTTTCTTCTATACATACCTAATACCTCCTTTCATCTTGACTATAGGATCTCCTTACTCCTGTTTCCCTAGCCCCCTTCTGGCTGTTCAGAGGCTTTGCATGTTCCAAAAAAATAACTGAAGTGACCTGTAAAATCCCAGCATGGATTAGTAAAGTGCTCAGAAAAGGAAAAACAAACAAAAAACCAACCAACCAACTAAACAAAAAAACCTAGGAAAGTGTCGCAATTCATATGCAGACTCTGATGATGTGTACTAATTTTGTCTTGTCTTTTCCCTATTCATTGGTTAACAATGACTGTTACACCAAGGGTAGGGGGAAGTAATTTTGAAATTACTTAAAGAGTGTTTGATTGGTTTTGTTCTTAGCAAAATTCTGGTTACAGAGAGGGGTTGCTAGATAATATATTTAGTAGTGTTACAGGTGGTTATATATATGGACTTTTAAGCTACTCCCTCATTTAGTTGTCATTAACTGCCATGTCAACCTGTCAAATGCTTTTCAGAGCTTTTCATGTTTGTTCTTCTCACTGGTGAAGCTTTTTGCAAGTCTTTCTCTGAGCAATCCAACAAACTTTCTACTTTTCAAGCCCCCTCCTTACTTCTAGCAAAAGTGGCATCCCAAATTTGTTGTTGCTGACTCCTCCTTTATTTTGTTTTCAACTTGCAGTCTGATCCCTTATCTCATTCTATTTGGCAAACCGTCCTGTTTTGTAGGAACTACTTGTCTGAACCCTTGGTAGTCTTCTGAAAACAAATTTTAACTTTAGTAATAGTTGCAAAGGAAGATGAATGTATGTAGATCCATATTAATAAATTGATTGAGGGTTGTTCAGAGATTGTACAGTTTAATGGATTTTAGCCTTCACTTTTGACATATTTAGATGCTTGTACATTTTGCAAATCTATCTTTTCATGTATTTTTCTTAAGAATGCAAAAGCTGCATGTAAATTACTTCTTTGAAAACTGCGTTGCCATAGCCTTTTCCTTCCTCCTTAGTTTTAGGGAAGTCACTAGGTGGCAGTAAAACAGCAGTTTCCCCTGTTGAGGAAAAAAGTTTTACAATGAAAGAAAAGGTTATTTAGGCATTTAACATAAGTCTGCAAGGTAGTAAAATAATCCTAAACAAAAGTACAATAAATAAAGTGTCCCAAATGCTTGTTACTTATTTTGATAGTAGTGAATGTTCTTAGAGCTCTGGTGCGCTTCTGCTTGATTGAATCTTCTCTCTTACATTAATCAAATATGAAATACATCTAACACCAGGACTTCTGAACCAGGTGTTTAGTGATGTTCAACAAAAGCATGCATAAATGTTTGGTTTGGATTTCTGAAAGCAGAAAACGAGCTAACTGATTTTTATTTTTTTAGTCTCTAATCTTTCAACAGATCCCTCTTTTGAAAAGAATATATAGATTAAAATGCCCTAAGACCACGGAAGTCACAGAGCTTTCATCTGAACTTTCATTTTAATTACATATTTTTAGAATGAAGGTCTTTTTCAGTGTTTGCTAATCCTGACCATCTGTTATAAAGGGTTTCATATTTATTGCCATTCAAAATGTAATTTAGTTTATACTTTAAGTATCAATAATATTTAAAGGCCTGAAATGGACCTCTGGAAAGGGAATGTAGCTGTGGTTATGTCACCATGTAGCAGTAGAGGACAGGAAGAAAACTGACAAAAGTCAGAGCAGATCATTTGATAAGCAATATAAAACTACCTCTGCTCAGTTGTGACAGCAGGATGCAGAAACCTCCTCACACAACAGTTTTCACAAACGAGTTCAGCTGGTAAGGTGCTAGGGTGTAAGATCCATCCAAAAGAGAGCAGAGCTGTCGTACAGCACTGAAGAACTGGGAAAGCATGGAACTGGAGTATTATGTACAGAGTCCTCTGTACACACCTGCGGAGCCAGTGTATCAAATGTGTTAATCTGACTTTACTCTGGAGCTATCATCAAAGGATTGTTTTCATTTTTGTACTACATATTAAGAAGGTTTTATTAAATGTGACTTAAAGCATTCCGTAGTGAAATTGGTAGAGAAGTAAATGTCAAACTAAAATTTTATCATTATCTTTTCAAGATAATGAGGAAATAATTACAAAAATTGAATTATGAGGTGAGAACCTGAATTCCGTCAAAAATACTGGGGCCTCTTGAAGGAGTGATACAGAAAAGTAAACATTAACTTTGTGCTTTCTCTTCTTGATCATAGTACTGATCAAGACTACACATGAGGTTTTTTGCTGTGTAGCAATGTGACTACTGCTATCCAGATGACACCAGACTGAAATGGCTCCCAGGGAACTGAAACCTACCAAAGGTCTGTCTGGTTTTAGCATGGATAGCCTCCACTGCTATTGCACAACTACTGAAATCATGTGGGGTGTGAACCCACGTTTGATTGTAGCAGCTGCAGCATTTTCCTTATAGTTGATGGGAGCTGCCTGCTCTTCTGTATTGATGGTGTAAAATGGCCACAATGGATCAAAAGATCTTACCCCAGATACAGTTCAATAGCAGTCAGTTCTTTTTACACAGCATGTTGCAGCCTAATACTTCTTTTATTGCTCTTCTGTTGATTTCTCACAGAGTTTGCTGTGCCATCTCCTTTCTTCTTCTAAGTGGGAAAGTAATGAAGCTGAAACCAGTACATTCATATCAACTCTTGGCTATACGTCAGCAGATTATTATTGTCACTTAGTTAAAAACGTAAGTATTTTGTGCAATTGAGATTTTGTTAATAATAAATCACCAGTTTATAAGCACATACATGGAACTGTCATTGTTATAAGGAACAAGAACTGGACTTTGTTTATCTTTTCTTACCTCCGTTACTTTTACAGCCTTTTAAGGGAAAAAAATTAAGTGGGAGATCTCTGGACAAATGAGAAAAATTTTTTATTAGATTATGCTGTAGTAGATGTTCATAAAAACAAAATTCCTCTTGCTGTTGTGTTATAACAAAAAATTTCCACCATATCATTAATTTTTTTCTCCATGAAGTTTAAATTATGTATATTATTTTATGTTTTAGAATATAATTTTTGGAATATTTTCTTTGTATGCAAAAATGGTAGATGAACCCTAAAATCTTAGGAAAAGTATCTTTTACATTTAATATATAGAAATAATAGCAATAATATTACACTTAATATATAAAAATATTGGGAATAATATGTTGATGTAAATTAGATAATGCATATAAAAATTATTAGTAGTGCTCTTCTGAAAATTTTGCCTCAACGCTTGGGGAAGCAGAGCTAAAATAAATAGCTTCTTCGTGTTCAAATATGGAAGGGATATGTGTTTAAAAAAATGTTTTGCAGCATTGTTTATTCAGTGCTTTAATTTGGCACCAATAATTAATCTGCATATACCCATAATCTTATGCTGAAGGCAACTCACATATAAATGGAAAATAATGACCGCATTAGGGTGTTGTCTTCTGTATTTCTGTCTGCCCCTTGACATGGACTATTTTATTTTATTTTATTTTAATTTTATTTTACAGGTGGTCTTTTCATTAGTAACAGAACTCAGAGGAAATCAGTTCAGTGGACTTAACATTCAGGGGAGGTAGGTGTTATCTAAACATCATTTTGATATGTTTTAGTTTGGATTATTACATTTCGATGAGGATGTTTTTACAGTCTTGGGCAACTAAGGCTTCAGTTGGAAAGTTTTGGATATAGAATCACAAAATGGTTTGGGTTGGAAGAGACCTCAAAGACCATCTAGTTCCAACCCCCCTGCTGCGGGCAGGGACACCCTCCACTAGACCACGTTGCCCAAAGCCCCATCCAACCTGGCCTTGAACACTTCCAGGGAGGGGGCAGCCACAGCTTCTCTGGGCAACCTCTTACAGTACCTCAGCACCCTCATAGTAGAGAATTTCTTCCTAACATCTAATCTAAATCTACTCTCTTTTAGCTTAAACCCATTACCCCTTGTCCTGTCACTACACTCCCTGATAAACAGTCCCTCTCCAGCTTTCCTGTAGGCCCCTTCAGGTACTGGAAGGCCGCAATTAAGTCTCCCTGGAGCCTTCTCTTCTCCAGGCTGAACAACCCCAACTCTCTCAGCCTGTCCTCATAGGAGAGGTGCTCCAGCCCTCTGATCAGCTTTGTGGCCTCTTCTGGACTCTCTCTAACAGCTCCATGTCTCTCTTGTGCTGGGGCCCCCAGAGCTGGACGCAGTACTCCAGGTGGGGTCTCACAAGAGCAGAGTAGAGGGGCAGGATCACCTCCCTCGACCTGCTGGTCACACTTCTTTTGATGCAGCCCAGGACATGTGGCTTTCTGGGCTGCAGGTGCACATTGCTGGCTCATGTCCAATTTTTCATCAACCAACACCCCCAATTCATTCTCCACAGTGCTGCTGCCAATCCATTCCTTCCTCAGTCTGCACTGATATTGGGGATTGCCCTGACCCATGTGCAGGACCTTGCACTTGTTGAACCTCATGAAATTCATAATCATAACGTTGGCTGCTATATGTGTCCTTATAACCAAAGTTGACTGGCAGTTAGTATAAGAAAAAGCAAAAAAAAAATTTCCAAAGGATTTTTTTCCCCATTTGTGTGAATGATAGTTTAATATGACAGAATAGTAGTTACTTTACACTTTTTGTAATGATAAAATTTGTCTGTGCTTATTTAAAGAACATCTCAAATCCACTTAGGTGGATTTTTGAGCATAGAAATTATGATATGGTTGTTTATTCAAGTTGCAGAGAAATGTAGTTTGCAGTTAGACGTGTACACTGTCTCATTTCTCTGTTCAGCAACTCAGATGACAATGTCTGTGCAAATTCTTTGCAGACAGTGGAATGCACTGTGGTGCATTGTCCAAGAACAAATTTTGAAAATTATGTAGAAGAAGAAAATTGGTTTTGCAGGTTTTTTCTTCTGAAGTTAAAAGTAAGAATGAAGTAAACTGCTAAAGTTTGCTAATCCTGGATAAGGAATTAGAAGCAGAATTTTGTGAAGAGGACTGATTTAAAGAGTCTCAGGTCTGTGAACTTTACCTGTATGTCCCAAAAAACACTACTGCACAATAAATATCAGCCTGATAATTACTATTCCTACAGAAACACTGCATAGTAAAACTGCATCTGAAAGTGTAAGAAACCTTAAACACATATTTGGTTAGGTACTTAGTCAAAAAATTGAGTCTTTGAAAATGCGTCATGTTTTATTTCTCTAAATGTGGAAACTACAGTGGTACCCTGTGTCCATAAATCATAGCACTTCTGTCACAGCATATGCCAGTGACCATTATCAATTTGAGAGTAGCTTTAATACATGCAGGGCAATAGAGTTAGCTCTTAGTCAGGGCAGCCTGTAGTGTAATTCTGTCTCAGCTCTTCATAGACTGTATTGGTGGTTCCTTAAAGAAAACAGTTTTGGGTTCTTACAAAGAATGTGTCCCTTCTAGTGAACAATGCAATCAGAAGAAACTTGGAGCAACTCAAAGAAGCCTTTTACAAACAATCTAGCACTTTTTAGTTTGCTACAATTCAATATTTTGGAGATCTTGGTCTTCATAAATGTCTTCCTGTCAAAACTGCATCTAGAAAAATTTGCAGTTTCTTGTGCTAGAAACTATGGGAAATTGGAGATTTCCTTTTGCAAATGTTCTCTCTTATATTTGTGCCATTGCCTTTTCATTTATATTCCAAAAGTTCCATGTTTTGTTCATGTTCCAGGTTCCACTGTAATAATTTTCAAGCATGTAGTTTTAGTGAGTAGTTCAAATGAGTGTTTCATATATTAAGATCCAAAAGAGTTACATATTCCTTCCATTGTAGATCTCTAAGACAAAATCTTTTCAACTGAGGACTTGGAGACAGCAGGATTCGTATTGTTTGGTTCACAGAAGTTGTCTCTGTTGAGAGGAGCGATGTCAGGGAAGCAACAGGAGACCTTAAAAGCAGCTAGGTGGTCTCCTGTGAGGGTCTAGCAAACCTTCACCGGAGATGTGGATTTGTCACTGATCCTGGGAAAGACAAAGCATTCCCTGCTAAGAAGGGTGTGATTACTGAGCAAGCTGAACTGGCTGCACTCCAGAATTGGGTTGATATCCCTCATGTGGTTTGCCTTGAGCACTAAAATATCAAAATTTTATCTGACTTCTCCTTAAGATTCTTCATACAATATGTAATGACAGGTCAACAGTCATTCCAATAAATATTTTTTCTGCAGTTAGGTATGCATCTCTTACATTTAACCTTCTGTAATTAATTTAATCTTCTTTTACCTTATCAGTTTAGAAATCAAAGTTTTGACTTTTCTGAAATATGAACTGTGGTTATTTTTTCCCTCAGAGTTTCAGCCAGTCGTGTGAATGCTGTGTCCCTTTTCTGTCTCCCTCTCATTACTTTGCCTGATCTAACTCCACTGCTGGAAACTCTCCTTCTTTACCATGGAGGTGCATCAAAAGAAATTCTCAGTTCAGAGTTTCTGGAGGCTGTGAATGAGGCTTTTTTAAAGTAAGTAAAGCACGCTCTGTATGATTTTTATGTTCTTTTCATAAAGATTATTAATGTGATTAAATGTCTTTTCTCTGGGTTTATATGCTGAATGCACTGTACATTTTCTGCATTCTAGTAAAATATTTTCTTTGCAGTTGAACAGCAGAGCTCAGGTTGTAGGCCAAAGCAGAGTTTTAAATTGCTGATATACAAATTGTGGCATAACAGCTTTAAATATTGGTTGGAACTTTGTCCCAACTTTTCTCTGAAATGGAGGTTAAAGTCTTCGATAGATTTTAACAATTTTGTGAAAGATATGATCACTTTTCATAGAAATGTTACTTACCTTTCATATAAATGTATCAACATTCCTACCTTGACATTTTGAGAGTCATCTTTACATAGATCTTTATGCTTGACTGGTTCCATACTTCTCTTTTTTTTTTTTTTTTTTTTCTGAAATTGGTTCTCAAGATTTTAAATTCTCCTGCTTTTCAGCAGATTATTTTTAATGAGTCTGATAGGAGCAATTTGTGAGATATTTGCTTGTTTTGCTGCCACTAAACCCGCTGTTTTGATAAAATCAGTCCATGGATGATGAAGCTGAACATCAGGAAGATTGGCTATGCCAGGGAAGGAAAGACATCAGGGAAAACACAGCTTACTTTTGGTTCAGAGTTGCTTTATTCAAATTGTAGCTGAGGTACTGTATTATAATAAATTTTTTTTATACTAGAAAAGGTACTTTGTGAACACTTTACCTCAATTTTCCATTTTTCTCCTTTTAAATCAAAATTTTAATTGCTTCCTCTGTACCCAACATCATAATTTCTGAGATATTCCAGTGAAGATTGTTATAGTGCTCCATTGAGGGCTCCAGCAAAAATAAATAGTTAATGGAAGAGCACAATTACTAAATTGTACACGTTACTAGAAGCTGAGGAAAACAAGGGAAAAAGGCACGTGAAGGTCTGTAGTGAAAGATGTGTCCCAAAAAAGAGAGAGCTATCTTTCACTTGTCCGCCTTTCATGGGTTCAGACTGGACATGTTCCACGAGCAGTAATGCAGTTTGGAAAACTTTCAGAGCGAGTGCACGGGTTCAGCATGGATGGTCTATACTGATGTCAGTGAGCCACTGAGCATCATGACATACGTTTGCCACATCATAATGTAAGTCTGAATAATTTAGATGGTCATAAAAGTTCTTCTGACTGAAATAAACATCCCTTTGCTTAACTTTTGAGCTGCTTGTTTATCACAGTGAGCAAATTCAGTTCATATGGGTCTTGACCAAGTGACTCTTGCAGGACCCTTGACAAAATTGTGTGGTTCCCCTGGGAGCAGATGTAGGCTCACACGTGCTTTGCACAGTGTATTCCTGGCCTGTCACTGAAGCTCATGTGATCTTAATATGAATGTGTTTGTGTGTTATTCTTTGTCCCCACTTTAACAATTGAATTCTGTGTTCCCTAACTCTGTCATTGTGTTCTGAACACTTATTTCCCTTCTGAACATGGGTGAAGCCTGCTCCAGGAAATAGTGTTACTAAATACCGGGACTTCCAGCGCTCCACAGGATTCAGTATTGGCCCAGTGGAACCGTCTGCAAGTTCAGTTGTAGAAGGTTAATGACTACAGTTTACTTCCTATATGGTTTTTAAATCTCAGAGCTGGAACACCTCTATGTAAGCTTATTAGATTTCTTTTCCTGGCATAACAATATCTGCCATGCTACCACAAAAACAACAACAAAAAGGATTGTGGCAAAATTAAATAATCTCTTGTCATTCATAATTTACTGTCATGGGCGTACGTGCATTAATAGTGATAATTAAATAGCATCTGGAAATCGAGCATTGCTTAACAGTTTTGAAAATTTTATGTACTTCAATATATTTCTTGTCTACAGATGCACACTCTTAAATTAAGCTATTACATAATTTTGAATGGAAAAATTACAGCTTTTCAATGGAAACCAGAATTCTGAAGGCTGATATTTAGATGAATGTGTACATTGAAAATAGATCCTAAAGTGGTGTTAAATCTTTCTTTCTGCTGATATTTCTCTATCAGTAGCTTTAGTTTGTATGTATTCTCCAGCCTAATTTTAGGTTTTTTAATCTTAACTTGATTTAATATTTCTCATTTTTTATGGGTTTTTTTTTTTGTTGTTTTTAACCTTTTAATTTGAAACTATGATGATAACTGCAAAAGTACTCCAGGATGTTTTGTGCTGTGGTATCTCTTCTTCTTGGGTGGTTACTTTAGTATATTTTGATTTGTGCTGCTCCACACAAATTACAGCGTTGCCTTAAAATAAACTGTGCCTTTCATTTCCTAGTGATACAACACTATGCTTCAGCTGAGCTATAGCTGAAAGCTTTAGGTGAAGAGATAATTACTTTCTTAACCATTTAACTTTTAAAAGCCTCTGTAAAGTGTTGGTGAGCTGAAGACTTACCTACTTCTGCCTCAGTTTTGTTGTTTGTGGGTTTTTTTTCTTATTTCTCTGCAAAGACATGTAATGTTTTGATTTAGCCAGCTGCTGTCACTTTCTCAGCAGACCGGTCTGCAGGAAGTAGTCTGGGTTTGAAACAGTGCAAATGTGGGCCAGGACCTTTCTCTAGAGAGGAAGGAAACTCCAGCCTTAAACCTTCTATTTCCATTTGCTGGGATCCATCATAACCAAATTTTTAAGTTTTAAAGATATGTGGTAAGGTTTCGTTTATAGATGATGGTGATTTCCTGTTATTCTTTGCCATTATTTGATATTGAACAGAGTACTGCAAACAAGATTTTCTCTCTCTTGCTGCAGGTTGATCTGTGTGTCTTCTTTTCCTCCAATGTCCTTTAAAAAAAAAAAAAAAGGTACATTTTTGTCTTCCTTCCAGTTTCTCAGGGAAAACTGTGTTTTTCTCTCTAAACCAGGAAGAAGATCTCCCTTCCTGAATCAGCTATCTTCAGCCTCTGGCTTCGGCACTTGCCGAGCCTTGAAAAAGCTACATTACATCTCTTAGACCAGCTGGTTTCCATTCAGTTTAATTCACTGGAAGAAGTGGCTTGTGTCATAAAAGATTCGTTACTGGTATGTGCAGCATGTAGTACATTTGACACTGTTCTTTCATGCATCAGAAGTGACAGAGAGTTTTCAAATGTATCAGTGTCTTTGAGGGAAATGGCTGTCATGCTGATATAACTTGCTGATACAAAGGCAAATCTTGAGTCTTAGAAATGTAACTAAATTCTTAGGGTTTTACACTGAATGGGTAGAAGAGAAAAAAGATTTCATCCAGTGATGAAGAATGGATGAAGAGACAAGAATCTGACTGGTGGAGGTACAGAGTACCTGCCTCTGTCTTTAAAAATCATAAACTTTGGCCAGGGAGGATTTGAATCTGTTTTTACTTCTATCTCTGTACTCTTGGGTGTTTAACAGTTTAAATAATTGAAATTCCTCGTACATTATTTTATTTTATTATGGACTGCTTGGTTACTTGGTTTTGTATGCAAACCGGCACAAAATTCTTAATACAAAACATTTGCTAAACTGTAACTAATTTGTTTTTCAAATGCTGTGTCACGCAGTGCACCAGAAAAACCTTTCCTAAGAGAAACCATGATGCAATACTTTTTTCCAAAATAATGAGCTAGCTTGTCACGCTACGTGTAGATCTAATTGTTAATTACACTGTGAAATAGCATGTGTACTATGTACTTAAATTGTGTATTTCATAAAATGGATAGAACTAAAAAACACCGCATGGTATCTTATACTCTGCCTATGAAACTGCTTACAGAGTATATATTTTAGATAGGAAAAGAATGATACCTTTAAATATTCTTCCTTTTTAATTGAATCTGCAAATTTTTATTTTAGGGATTCATTATAATACTTGCAAATTTCTGAAGTGCTTGATGTCAACAGCACTTCATATGTCTTCTGGTATTCCAGAAGACAATGCTACATACAAGGCCTGTGCCTAATTTTGCTGTATCAAATACACTGTGAGTTGAATACAATATATGGTACCACAAGTGGCAGAGGAAAAAAAAAAATATCCAGGTTATATATGTAAAAGTAAAATCTTAGTTTTAATTATTGGGTTATTATTGTTTATTCACAATGTTCATATTTACCTTGTCTTCACATCCTGATCCCTGAAAAGAATGGAACATTACTGTGCTAGCACACTTAGCTTGTTCTTACTTGCCTCTGCTCCAAAGACTTTGTGGTTTCAAAATGAGATATTCACAGAGTGGAAAGACCAGTGCAACAGCTTTGAATGCTGGTTTAGAGAGGACATCCTGTGGACAAGCAGAGGAATGAATAGAGGCGTAAAGAAGAGAGCAGTTGGAAGATGGATGTTGCTGATTGATAGGCATAGATAAGAGTGAGGGTGCATAGGTGGGAGATGGAATACCAATTAAAGACAACAGGATGAGAAGCTTCAGAGAGGCAGTATAGAAGGAAAAGATTTGATGCAGAATTTGTGTTCTAAAACAATGATATTTTGTACAACTTGCACATGGTACTATAAAGATACTAGTGTGACATTAGATCAGTCAGCACTTTGAATCCAACAGTATTATTAATTTACCCTGCCTGAAAGACATTTGAATATTTATTTAGGAATATGGATATGCATTTTTTGGCAGTTGGATTATGATATTTATAGGATGTGACCTCTGTTTGCAGTATGGCTATGGTAATAAAAAGTGGAATCATGAGACAAAACTTGATTTATACATTTTTTCTATTTGGAAGAAAACCTCTAGAGTACAAATAGGCAGAAATATGTTAGTGATTTGATTTTAGTATATGATAAGAAGCAAATTTCAATAAGCTCTTTCATAATTGCATTATCAGTATCATTTATCTAAACAAAATATCTTGGTACAGCAACCAAACTGTACATAACCCTTATAGAGATCTATGAGACCCAGGTAGTTGTAAACCACTGCACTTCTATTATGAAAGAAACTTGATATGCAATACTCTTACATTTTAATTCCAAGAGTAATTGTAGTGTGATGGTCCACTAATATGTGTTTTATATGGCATGTTATTAGGTTTGTGACTTTGGGGCTAAACTGGAATTAATATTGAAAATTCTGTAGTTTTTCAGAAGTAATAAAAACAAATTAAGTGACTATCACAAATGGTCTTTTAGCTTCCTCAGAATTTGGTGGGTAAGCAGATGTCTTCCTTTCTGGGCTAACTTTAGGGTTTGTATGTGTGCATTAACAACTAAAATGTAAATAAATACACATATTATAATTTTATGCTTTACCAGAAATGCACAGTTATGTACATAACTAGCCTGGCCGCCTCCTACCCAGTCTGCCTGCCCAAACGCTCCCCAGGTGCTGCAGCAAATCGATACCTGCACCCAGGAGGAAATTAGAAAATCAGGTTGACGAAGAAGCCTGCTCGCTCCCTAGGATTAGAGGAAAACCTATTTGCAGGGCTACGAGAGCATCTTAATCTCAGCAGAGGTTTAATGAAGGATCACAGCTGGCCAAAGGCGCAAGTTGCTTGCCCTGCAGACGAGTTTGCTTTGCTGGGAGTGGGCCTGCGGGGAGGCATTGGGAGTACAACGGGTGATGCTTGGCTTTTTGTCTGAGACAAGCTTTACTGTTCCGAACTTCCCTAGTCATAGAGGTATTTCTCAGGGTTGGAACTAGATGATCTTTAAGTCCCTTCCAACCCAAACCATTCTATGATTCTATGATTTTTAAAGCACATATATGTAAAAGGAAATGTGAATGAATGAGTATCAATTATAGTTGTGTTCAGTTCTTAGCTTCCCAAAATAGTTTTATTTCTGTCAAAGTTACATTGCAAGAAAAGTGCAATAGGTTGAGAGGGCTTAAAGTTTGTCAGCTCCTCATATAAAAAAAACATGTTATTGCTGCGTATTGTTTTTCCACCCTGTCAGTTTTCCCAAGTCCAGCCCATAATCAAAATTATGTTGCAGTCTAGTTAAAGCTCCAGCGGTGGCATCTCCCTTGGTGTGATTTTCACTTCAGCATGACAGAGAAAATACAGTTTTAGTGGGTGATACAGCGCCTGTTGTATTGCCTGACAGGATACCAAGCTGGATACTGGTTCCCATGCCCTTGCATTGCCCTCTTGCTGTGCCTTATCCCCGAGTTTTGAGTCTAGCTGGATCCACACTCACCTTTCATTGGGAGCTGTGCCAGTGAAATGGGCATTAACGAGGGAGAAAGGAGGAAGGATAGAGAGAGAAAGAAAGAAGATTTTTTTTTTCTTGTCATAAAACATTCCAGTTAAGTTACAGTTAATTCTTTCAGTATTGCCTGTCTTCAAACCCTGTGTTGGTATGGTAATATTTATGAAATAGTGCACACTAATTTATTCATAATGTTAATGAATTCAGGAGCTTTTTAAAGCTCTGTAAAAAGGTGTTTGTGCTTTCAACATAAGTGTATGCTTCAAAATAAAAATACATTTGGCATTTGGTAGAAGAAAAAAATTAAGTGATATTTCTCATTTTTAATTGGTAAATATAAAATTCAGGAATACAGGTAAATATAAAAATTGAAAATACAGACAACATTTCAAATACAGCAGTGTGGTAGTTTCTTAAAGTTAGATGTGTTTAATTATAGAAGTGTTGTGTCCAATTAATTGCATGTGAGTCTGGAAGTCAAGAGAACTGGTATTTGCAGTGTTACTGTTACCGGAAAGCGGCAAAATAATTCACTCTCTAAGACTTATTTTGAAGTTTTAGAAAGCAGGCATTCTTTATTGCAGCACTGGGTGCACGGGGGATAACTCCACCTAACATGCACACCCAAAAGATTAAATATAATATAAATACTAGCAAGTATTTATACTACATTAATATACATATTCAGTATATTTCTGAGTAGTGCTTAACACATTCATGGATTTTCCGGGAACTCATTGGCATATGCTAACGTCTTTCACCCATGTTTGTTGGCACCTCTGGGTGGTCCTTGGGGGTCTTCAGACTCAGTCCTGGTATCACCTATACCTTATCCCTCAAGGCTGGTTTTGTGATCACCTTGTAACTTTCTTATCTTTCTTCCATCTGTTCTTCCAAGGTCGAGCTGTTTAAAATGAGATTGTTCCAGAGCTTCTTATCTTACAACTAATTATTTTCTCAGTTACAGTAGTTTCCCTTTTGTTTGGTTACATCTATTGAGCAATGGCTCTAATTGCTTGAATTGATCTTAATATTTCAATATTCACAGGTATCATTACCACCTTAAACCTGTTGCTGTGTGATCTTGGACATCATTTGTTTCCCTAAGTTGACTCTTACTTGCAGTTGTCACAGAGCATTCTATGATATGAATAAAATACAGTATATAATTCTTAGTCCATTCCTTTTTCTGCCATTTACTTGCATCCTGTAGCTACAAATGTATTTTTCTTATTTCTTTATTCAGTCCTGGCTTTGTGTTTTGAATTACTTGTTTAGGATTCTTCTTTCTAATAATACGAATACAAAAGTAGTTTATAGAACTTGGGTGTGTAATACTTTATGTTACTGTGTATTTTTCCTGGTTTATTTCTTTCAAATATCCCCGTGTTTTTGTGTGGGGTCTTTTTCTGAAGAGGCACACATTCTTAAAATACGTAATCAAGGCATCACACATGCAGCTCCAATTCCCTGTGTTTGGATCTTTTTGGTTTAGTGTGTGTTGTGCTGTATGTATTGTGCATGTTTTAAAGGTGATAGAACAAGCTCCTGGTAGACAGCACATTTGGATTTCTGAGCCTTCTGTGAAAAATATTGCATAGTCACAGACAAGATTATTAAAATGTAAAATGCCTTTTTATTTTGAAAAAATAAGGAGATAATGTCAACAGCATGAAAACCCTATGAGAATCCCTCCTGAAATTGATAATCCCTCCCGAACTCCAGAACTGCTGTTGGCCGCAGCAGAATTGTGCTGCCTGCTACACAAGAATTGTGTAGTCGTGCTACACAACAGGCACATCTTCAAATTGCCTTGGAGACTTTTGCACTATGATAGCATTCTTACACTGACTGCATGCAAATTAATTCCATGCAGTCCGTTGATTAATATCTTGTGGAATTAGATAACAGTGGTAGGGCTTGGCTTTTTTTTTGTTTTCCCTTTCAAATGCCAATGATGAAATTAATATTGATTTCAGTAGTGTAGATTAGATACTAGGAGCTATTAACTGTGATTTCCTCTAGTCAGTACTGTAGATTGCTGCTGTCTGGCAGGAAAGGGTGGAGAGTTTTTCACTGTCGCATACAGCACATTTATTTTGGTCTTGTTCAAAAGATCTATCATTTGATCTTCATGTGTGGCAATGTGCTGAGGAACCCTTTCTAGTTTATGGTCAACCTATCTTAAGCAACAGTGGTTTGGTACGTCATCATAGAAGTATGTGTGCAAAGGTAGGTAGAGTATCTGAAAAGACAGTGGAGAAATGGCAGAATTAAACCATTTAGCCCTGAGGACTGAAAAACATACTTCGCACTTTGCTGTTCTGACAGAATTGCAGAAGGGTTGGGGTTGGAAGGCATCTCTGGAGGTCATCTAGTGCAAATTTTCCTTTTTAAAGGAAAAAAAAAAATACATGAACGTGTCTCTTTTTCGTCTCATCCAGCCAGGTTTTTTTTTACCCCCTCTAGCAGTGTATGTTTGGAGACCAGCCTTGCAACAAGCTGCATGCTGTTCTTCACACGTCTGAACTACTGGCTGCAAATACTCTTGAACACTAGATGGCAGACGTTCAATAGGACACCTTAGCTACAGCCATGTGACAAAGAAAAAACATGAAAATGAAGTGCCAGCTAGTATTTCCAGTGTGGCAAAGACAACTGTGAGAAACAAGGAGCTTTTCTAGACAGTTTGTATTAAAGGTTGTCTCTTTATCTCCTGAGATTGTCATACAGGGCTCCTATAGAGTGAAGTCCTCATTCTGCCTGTGTGCAATTCGAAAGAAAAAAAATTCTATTCCACTTGGTACTTTTTAGCTTGAAACAGATGCATAAAAGTTTTCTTTGGAATAGTGCATCAGGCACTTAAAGCTGTTACAAAGCTCTGTGAGGTAGTATTAAAGACAAAGGTGATAAAATTAATTTAATTTCTGGGCCTTAATTTTGAAGATGTAGCAAGAATCTCAAAGCACATCCAAATGGGATTATCTATGAAGAACAGAGAAAAGCTTTTTATAAATCTGTTCCCTATCTCTTGCCTCCAGCAATGGCATGCAACAACCTGTTCTTCCTCTCTGCCACGCCTAGTATTTTTAGTGATCATTGTCATAAACAGTTTGGGATCCCAGGTGTTTGCATTTATCAGCTGTTTAGCCTGCTTGGTATCGCTGTAGATCTCCTTCCATGACTTTGATATAGTTATTTTGAGGAATCTAATCCTGAGAAAATTTGAGGGTTTAGTAACTGTTGATCTGAGATTTACAATTTAATAATTGCAGTGTAATAGCATCCCTGAGTTAAGCTGCAAATTATACAATAACAGTTAAGTTTCTTATTAATGACTAATTTGTTTTCATTTGTTTATCAACAGCCACAAGCAGCAAGCCATCCTGCCATTTTCAGAATTGTTAATGAAATTTTCAAGTAAGTTTTGAAATTATAGTGGGAAGTGTTTCAAATGATCAGTTTATACATTGAGGTTTTCTTCATGAGAAGGAGGAATATAATAATCTGGGATGTATTATAATTTCAGATGTCTTTTTTCTTTAGATGTATGCCTTAGTGTCCCTTTCTGTGTAATATATTGCAAATAAAGAAAAATGTGAACTTTACATAGAAGTTATAATATCATTAATACTGTTGACTACATTATATTTTAGCCTTTAAAATTTATTATTTTGTACTTCAGTAGAGATTCATGGTTGAAATACGATTTTGACATGAAAATTAGAAATACTGAAATGGCTTGGCCCATGCCAGCATGAAGATGGAATTTAGCTCAAACATTTGCACTTACCAGTGTAGCCTCTTTTACATTATGTTAGTAGTCTTCAGGATTGATATCAGGTATGCTCGTAATGGCATTAAACTATTGATCTGGCTGTTAACAATGACTTTGGTTTATAATGCAAGATTATTTTGAAGCAGTATATATTGTTTACCACATGGGGGCTTCCGCTCCTTTGTACTTAATTTTCAGTGGCTTTTTCTTTTCACTTCACTTGACTTGATTTACTATTTTATCGTTCTTTTTAAGTGTATGTACTGCCAGGGTTATCAGTATGACAGTTTTGACGCAACAATAATGTATTTAGGGACTGACATTCTTTGTTCATCAAATGTTTCCCTTTTTAAAAAAAAAAGGGGCTCCCAGGTGCACATGTTGGGGAGCATTTGAGTGTCTGTGTGCATGCTGAGGTTTGTTGCAGGCACTAACAGCTGAATCTTTGCTGTAGAAACTGTAGACTGCTGTATTGCAAGTGTGGAACCACTCGGCAGCTATTGCTATGGCAGTCCTTTCTGTGGCTGTGGTCCAGTGTCTGAGCACAGCTAGCATTTTCTGAGTAGTTGAGACCAGTCATTTTCCAAAACCAAAATGCACTTGAAAATTGGTGTGACTTCAACAGACCTGTACCCCTGTCTTAGGCTGGAGGCTGTATTTTGT